AGGAAAGCTGTAACAATATTTAACAGATTTTGAAACACGCTTCTGAATCAGGACAAAGCTCAAAATTTTCTAAGCGTGGAGAGCTTCTGCTAAAAGTACAACCTCTGAGAAGTTTCTTTAGATTACTGCCATTAACAGCTATGTATCTCAGCTACTCTGAATTCATCATCCCTTCCTGAACGGAGGCTGTGATGAGGAGGGGTTTGGCCTCTTCTCCCAGGCTACAAACAGGACCCAAGAAAATGGCCACAAGTTGTACCAAAGGAAGTTTAGATTAGACATAAGGAAGAACTTTTTCTCTCAGAGTGGTCAGGCACTGGAATGGCCTGCCAAGGGAGGTGGTGGAGCTGCCGTCCCTGGCAGTGTTCAAGAGGTGTCTGGATGAGGAGCTACAAGATACAGTTTAGTGCTTGTGGTAGCAGTGGTAGTGGGAGGGCGGATGGACTAGATGATCTTGCAGGTCATTTCCAACCTTGGTTTCTAAGATTCTATGATTCTATGATCAACAAGGGACTGGAAAAGGAGGTTTGGGACCTCTGAGTCCAAATTCACATCCTTATTTTGCCAGCTTTTAAGTATCCCAATAAAGATATACAGGCATGCAGCAAGCAACTCCTACTGCTGAGCCTGCAATTTAGAGAGAAAAGACACTGATAAATAATAAATAATATTAGATGTCCCTGTTCAAGAGGGATATCTTGGTAACAAACACAGGAACGGGGGTTGTGAAAAAAGTGATCCTGAGTTGGATCACACCCTAAATGCTACACTGCTTCAGATGAAAAGTACAGTCAGGACTTACATCTACATGAATTCCTTTTCCTTTGTACTGCCCTCACAGCAATCACAATGCAATTAATGATGCTGTACATGAGAGGCAGACAGAGGCAAGTGAAAAACTGATTGTCAGAGTTCTACTACAGCGTGTTGTCTTTGGCTACTGTGGTTTAAAGAAATGCTTTTATTTAAAAGTAGAACTGTCTTGTCAGACAAATAGGAAGCTGCCAAATTGCAAGAAGGCGGCAACGTTCAGCCTGTAAAGTACTTGAAGTTGAAATCCAAGGACTTGGCTGACATAGGCAGTAGTTCTTACAATATTTTTAACAAGCTGAAAAAAATATGTTTACATTTTGATACCTGGAAACATGACAAGAAGGAAGTCAGACGTTGTGAAAACACAGCAGGGATTTCACCATCTTGTCTTTAGCAAGCTACTGCCAGCACCTAACAGCAAGGGAACCATTGCTGGACAAGCCAACAAGCAAGGGCCAAGGACATTCTATGAGCTGCAGGTTATATCACCATGATTGTGGTTAAAAGATACTGACAGATCCCCCTTCCTCCTAGAAAGGATCTAACTCCTTTTCCAACCACTTATGATATACCCTTTGTAAGAGATTATAGCAGTAAGTTCTATTACGTAATTTAACCAGGCCAAGAGATATACAGCATTATGTTTATTTTAACTTCCAATTTTGCAACATAGTTTGTGTTTTGATACAGCTAGCAGATCACTCTCTACTTTTTCCATGCCATTTTACCATCCTGCTATAATCACAGAACCATAGAACTGCTCAGGTTGAAAAGACCTTAAAGATCATCGAATCCAACCACAACCTAACCATACTACCCTAACTCTAACAACCCTCTGCTAAATCATGTCCCTGAGCACTGCATCCAAATGGTTTTTAAACACATCCAGGGATGGTGACTCAACCACCTCCCTGAGGAACCTATTCCAGTGCTCAACTTCCAGTGCATAACTTACATCTTACATGTCTGTATTAATATAATACCATTTTAAATCTTGATTTCCATTCCTTTCATTATATAACTGAGGCAAACAGAAGTCTTCACATTTCCACAGAGCCATCTATCCACAGTGAGAACAGAGGCTCTATCCTGAGCAAAAGTAACCAGCACAACGCCATGCCCCTCACCTCTATAAGCAGCACGGGCTACTCTTCCCTGTACTCATAACCCTGCATTTCCAACACTAAGTGTCACCTACCAGCCACATCTACCACCATGCCTTTCTGCAGCTCTTCAGTCAGTTCTGTTTCCTTAACTCAGTGCTATCTCCTCCCCAGCTCAGTGTTACTAGCTGTGTATCTGAGGCTTCTGTGCAGACTGCTGGGGAGCAGCTCTAGTCACGTATTTGCTACAGGACTCAACAATCATCTGATGGTTTCACAAATAATACTATTAACAAGGCATCTGTTTACTACCTCTTTTGTTCTTCTGCTTCAGGCATAGATTAGAAAAGAAAGCCCTTGTCAGACTTCCGTCATAGTTTCTAGAACAACCTTCACATACGACCGCGTCAAAGCCTTTTAGAAAAAGGAAGTACAATACACTGGCTGAACCACCCCCTTTCCACAGATGCATTGAGTCTAAAGAACTCCAATAGATTTTATCAGCAATAAGTTCCTTCAAACAAAGAACCCTCTACATAATGTTAAAAAAAAAAAAAAAACAACACAAATAAAAACCCACACCATCTTTGCTCCAAGCACAAGCAAGTAAGATGCGTAACAAACAGATTTTCATAAACTGCCCTCTTTTATCTTTCAAGAACAACACAAAAGGTAGAAAGCTGCCCTGGGAACTCTGTTTTCAATTACATATCTTTGAATGCAAGCTTTGTGTCCAGCCAGTCAATTTGGAAATGTTGCATTATAGAAAATAATAGGTCTGCACTTCCCAGACCACAAAAGCAAAATCTCGTCAAAACCTCCTGCTGGACAGCATGTATGCAAAAAGGTTCAAACCAAGACCACAAGCTCCCTTAAAGAACTGCTTGCTTCAAGGCTGTGTTATCTGACTCGTGGGCGACCCAACTTCCAGCTTTTTTCATCCAAGCAGTTTGTTGTGCCCATGTTGTCGTCTTGAGCATCCACATCTGAAATTCAACCCACAGCCACACAAAGCTGTTGAGAATGAAA